AGTTGATAATAAAACTTTCTCTTTTCAAGAAGCATAAAATTTCTGTTAATAAAGTTTGAAAGATAGACATCTCACTGTTACAAAACATCCTTTAAATATTTTGATGGTTGAAAATAATGAAAGGAAGACTAAAATACTGAATATATATATATATATATATATATATATATATATATATAAAAGAGGGTGGGCTTTTGCATATTTTCTCACCAAATGAGAAGATATGCATCACATTCTTGTCATTTTGGTAAATTAAGAAACTAACAACAAATGTAAAATTAGTAACGATTCCTACAAAGAAAACATCTAACATTTACCCATCAACCAAAGTGTCTCTATATTTCAATATTCCATGTAAGAATAACAATACATATGAAAATAAGATTTCAACAGTGAACAAAATTTAATTCAGAAAGTCCTCATTCAACAAATCTTTTTTATAAAAGTCAAACACATGTATTATAAATTTAAATTTGTAAAATTATTCAATTGAATTTTTTAGAAAACAAAAAAAATCAGGCAATAGCTTATGATTACAGGAATTAGTATTTCAAATATTCATCTTTTTTTCATGAAATATTTGCAATGAACAGATTAAAAGAAAATATGTTCCTGCAAATAAATTTCTCATAAAAAGAAAACCAAACATGAAACAAAAGAGAGGAAATTGTTAAAATCTGTCAGATTTTCTTGACATATGATCAAAAGAATTTCCAAATTTGTTTTTTCTTTTTTCAGGGATCACAATGTTTGAAGTAAAGAAATTCTACTGGCATTATGAGTAAGTTCAGTTTTGTCTAAATATTTCCCTAATAATAAACACACAGATTGCTATTACCAAAAGAATAGGGTAATTAACTTGTAATACTTATCTCCAACATTATGCAAAAATGACAATATTGCATTTATTATTATTAATCTTTGTATATTAATCTACTAATAATGAATCTCTAAAAGAAAATATGCAAGTAACTGTGATATCATGAGTAAAAGAATAAAAATGAGAAATGATATTTACAGTATATAATTTTAACAACTGACACTTCAAAGCCTGCTTATACAAGTTTTATTTTCAATTTTTTATATAATAGTTTTTGTTCTTTAACTTAAGTTTTATTTATAACAAGACTTATTAAATGGGGACTTTTTACATATGAAAAACAAACAAACAATGCTTGAGATGCATGTCCAACACTGCCTTGTCACCCGTCACTTTAAAAAAAAATAAATAAAAACAAGCAATTATAATCTTAAAAGTTCAAGCTAAAATGTTGTGGCAAGTAGTACACAGCAGTTTTAAAATTATTCAAATTATTGTTTCTTAAATTTCAGAAGGAAGAAAAAAATTTAACAAAACTGAAATGCCAAATTCAAAAGTGCAGAGAACAACAAAGTTACAACATTGTTGCTGAAATTAAATGTATCAATCAGATGTAAAAAAAAAAAAAAAAACCCTCAAATAACATAAGTATGAAAGTAATTTTTTTTTTTAATAAAAAAGTAAACAATTCCCTGTCAGGAAAGAAAACGGTTAATAACTTTCATTACTTTAATTTTTATTAAATAAGTACAAGTCAAACAATTTTGCCTTCTTTACATTATAATCTTGACAATATAAGTGAATTTTAGATTGGTCTTTAAGTGGTAAAAAGCTACAAATAGATGAATCAAAGATATATGAAAATTTCTGATTGATACATTCAATTTAAGAGTGCAACAAAACAAGGAAAAAGTTAAGATTTGACTGAACAGAATACTGTGAGGATAAAAATCAGATTTGCATAAAGTGATTTTAAAATATTAAATATTTTATAAATAAAATAAAATTTGGATAAGAATAAATATTGTAGTACATGCATACCCACAAATTATAAATCTTAAAAATATTTTAGATTAATAGAAATCCATTTCATTGCTATACATTAATTTATATTCTTTCTATTTTGCAATAATTACCCAATCAATAGTGGATTCTATCCCAATAGTTAGGAAAGACAGTATTAACTGCATTTTATTTTAAATCCATCTTTAGTGAAATATTAAGTACTATATCAAGTGCTGGATATTGCTATTCATTTTTAACAAAAACCTTCAAAACTTGTACAAAAGTTCATTTTATCAATCTTTTTCCTATTAGAGATTGGAGAAAATTCTGATATAAAGTGTGTCCACTATATAGTAAGAGATTTGTGTTTAGAAAGTTGTTTCAAACTGTGATGTAATTATTTGCATATTGGAATTTTTATGCCCAGGTTTTTTTAAATTGCCTAAAGTCTGCTAATTATTAGATTTCAATAAAACTTTTAATGCATACACATTTATAAATTAGTTTATTTATGCAAAAGATATTTTTTAATTAAAGACTTGATGAAAAAAAAAATGAAATCAATAAGAGCTTATTCAATTTTATGAAATTCCAATTTGAACAATAAAAATATTTACGTCTTTATAAGATATTTGAATTTTATTTGAAACTTCTAGCAATATAAAAATACGCCCTGAATATTTTTTCAGGTTTTAAAATTTCCCTTTGATACTTCTGAAATGTTATTTTTAAATAAAACTATGTTCTAACAATTGAGATAAAATCCAATGAACTAGAATTTTTTTTTTTTAATAGAAAATTTCTTTTCTGTACAGAAATTCTTAGCCTGTATGAAAAATCATTAAAACCTTTTTAGCTACTAAAAATGCTTTTTAATATATATATATATATATATATATATATATATATATATATAATGTGTGTGTCTCCTTTTTGGTCACTTATAATGTCCTCTGAGACGCTCTTAAATCTAAGTGGACTTTCATCAATCAGTATGTACTTTAATTAATGTCAGATGACTTAGCAAAAAAATATGTAAAACTTGCTTAAGTATATAAGTATTTTTTTAAAATTAAAAACTGAAATTTCAACTTTAAAGATATTTAAATTATTGCAATACATTTTTTTTTTTTTTTAGGCTGTGGAATTACTTGCTCAAAACTGTAAAAGATATTACCAGATGGTAAAAACATGTTTGATATTTAAAACTGCAAATTTTATAAGACATAAGTAGCAAGAGAAATAGTGGAGTGCAAAGTTAGGAGGCATTCCTTCTTAGTGGCTAGTGAAAATCAACATCATCTAGCAGGTACAAATAATTAAATTTTTGTGGCCCATAATCCAATACTTTATCGAATAATAGATCAAATAGAGAATTAGAAAATTACAATTTAGTGGATGGCAAGTCTCTCACATGTGCTGTTGCTTTTCAATCAAATCTATTAATAATCTATTATTTATACAATTTGTTTTTCTCACAATCCAAAATTAAATGAGAATATATTAAAATTTTTGTTAAAATATACACATTTGTCATATTATCACTCAAAGTTTTTTGCTAACCCCTTAATGCTATATCAGAATTATCCAATTGTTATTAGATGACAAAAGGCAAGTGTAACTTTGGAGATAATTAACTATGTAGCATTAATTAATAAGTTTGTATATTAGGCCATCATTTAGCAAATTCTGAACCTTTGTTTCAGTTAATGTCATATATCCCTTATGCAAAGATGATTACACAAATGCCCAAGCTGGTGTAAAGGGACTTTTTTTCTCAATATACTTGTTTGAAAGTATTATTTAACAGCTACAGATAATGGCTAAGCTAAAAATTATCCAAGCTATTTTCATGCTACATTCTGGTATTTTTTACAGTACCAAATATTGGCAACCATTTCTGCTTTCTCTTTGCATAAGCAGAATTACATTTGTCAGCTATGTTAAAATAACAGGTAGCACAAACAAATCTCCCTCCCCATCCATCTTAAGTAATTAAATCTAATTTGTTGAATACTAAAGATGACTTTATATTTGTAGGGAGAATAAAGATCAGATTTTTTGTGCTGGAGGGAACATGGAAATATCTTTCAAAATAAAGAAATAGAATTTTCTTTTATAAACAAGTAATCCAAATCAAAAGATATCCACTTAGTTTCTAACAATAAAAAAATCTGATGTTTGATTAAATCAAACATTTTATCTGACGATTCAGATAATGACAGTTCAAATAAATTTACTTTCAAGTATCAACAAAATATAAGCACTTTAAAAAAAATAATTTTTATTAGTGGTTTAAAATGGTACTAGCTCACTAAGTATTTCATTTGTTAAGAATTACAAAATAAACTTTATTTACAGCCAAAATAATGGTTTAAAATATTGGTAATTACTTACTATGCTTGGGTACTACTATTATTAAAGTTTTTAAAATTGTATTCATTTTAACTTAATTACATTTCTAAACTTTATATTTTTCAAATTAAATATTTTTGCATACACAGCAAATTATTACTATTTAAAAACAAAAAGTACATAAGACACACACACACACACACACACACACAAACACACACAGGATGCTGAAAAGCTTTTGATCTAAAGTTCCCAAAATCTGAATATTGGAATATTTTTATTTATTTTTATGCCTTCTTGCCTGAGCCAGGAACTTTTCAGCACCACCATATATGCAAGAAATACTAATTCTTATTTCAGTTTTGCAACCTTAAACTTTTTTTTAACTAAAGAAATGTCATAAGTTAAAAAAAAAAATCCTCACAAAGAGAGAAATCAAAAAGTAGGGGAAGCCAAATTGAAAAATTTTAAATTAGGCAGAAAAGGAGAGGAGATTAAAGAAAAGAAAAAAAAACTTGAAAATTCTTTATATGCTGTGTACCATCCAATGTGTGCTATTGATTAAAATGACAATTTTCACAATTATACTTATTTCTATTTGAAAAGAAGTGCACACAAAGTGGTCAAAAGAGTGACTGGTGACAGTGTATTAAACACACACAAAATACACGCACACATACATTTATACATACTCTCAAAACACCCACTCCCAGGGACAAGCACACATGCACATATACACATATACCCAAGTATATGAGTGTATGTATAAAATCAAACATAGTACTGGCAACTCAAAATAATAGGGACATTTTTTAATAACCTGCTTCCCATTGATGGTCACAAAATGTTCCTTGCAAACTTCATCAACGCTGTCTTCATTGTTGAACGTCAAAAACCCAAAGCCTACATCAAAGCAACCAACCAAAAGGTGTTGTCATCTAATCGTTTTTTTTTGTTTGTTTTTTTGTTTGTTTGTTTTGTTTTAATTTTTGCAGAGGTTGCAAAATGCAGTTCACTGGCAAAAATGATTCTTTGCTTGCACTGACCATTTCGAATATTACACATTTATACAAAACAGAAATGAAATAAACAATAGAAAAACGATAACACGATAATGTTAATTCTTTGCAAGTGAAAAGAGAGAGAGAGAACAGGAATTAACTGTCAGGAAAATATTTTACTGTATAAAATGAATTCTGTGTTGACAAGTTAAAAAGGTAAATATCTACATAGGAAATAAAAATAAAAAAAAAATATTGTATTTTACTGCAGAGTATCCAATCAAAACCAAAATGGCAGCATCCATAAGAAATTGCCACAATTTCTTATTTTTCCCCAAAACTGGCCAGCACAGCCAGGCAACAATGTTATACAACGACAATTTCAAGAATTTAAAAATATCCTGGCAGGCTGATTTTTGTCTAAATATGGAATTCATTAGCAATTTATAATAAATGCAAAAATGATTTTAAATCCAGGCTACAAGTTATTTTGAATTATTTCTGAAGCCCCAAATTTTAAAGAACACAAATATTTACCATTTTTATGATAAATCCAAAAGTAATAAAGATTTTACTTAATGAAAAGGATAAAATAAATATTTTCATTTTTTTTATGTAAAATAACACTAATATACAGAAAAAAATAGAAAGATGTCTGGAAATTGAAAAATAAAAATGAACAATGCAAGCAAAAATAATTAAATGTGTCAATAAAAATTAGGTCAAAATAAAATATGGGTGAGATTTAAAATATTGAAATGCAACATATATTAGTGTTTATGTGAATGCTACTTTCAATATTTCAATTAAATTTTTATTCACTAATTTGAAGTGTAAAATGGTTGGTAAAAAATGTTATTTTGCTCAACAGTCTAAAACTGGAGAAGTTGAAAAAAAAATTGAATGTTTTGCCAGTGACACACCAACTATCTGCATTCTAATCAGCTACGGCTTGTACCTATTAAATAGAATACTCAAAGAAAAACATGCTTAGTACATCTTAATATTAAAATCAAACAATGATAAATATAAAAACCATGTCTTTTAGCACATGTAATTAAGAATATAGAAATATGCATACATACATACATATATATATATAGAGAGAGAGAGAGAAAAAGAGACATGAATTTTCTTAAATATATATAAAAAAAAAATAGTAAATGCTCATCTAGAATGTCTAATCTTAATTTTAGAAAGCATTTTTGTGTGTAAATGTGTAAAGACATTAAAATCTATTTCAAAATGAAATCAGATTGGTTTTCAAACCATTTACATTTATAGAACAACTGCACATAAACTAATATCAATAAAACACCCTAAAGTTTACATAAAACAGTCACTCACCAAATTAACAGAGAGAGCGAGAAGAGAGCTAGGCAGCAAATCAAGTAAATAGAAAGATGATTTATAAAATGCAAAATGATAAATTGTCTTTCAGAGCATTAAAAAAATATATATTCATTCTAATTAGTTTACATCATTGCACAATCAAACTGTTATTTGACTCATTGGAAGGAAGTCTATAAATAATTTATTCTACTTCCTTTTCAGCAAACAATAAATGTAGGCCTGAAGACAAATTCTTAAGTAGTTAGTGATTATAGCTTCCTAATTTAAAAAGAAAAAAAAAATGGTACTTTCACCAACAATTCATTTTAAAATGTCAGCTGCACAAGACCTGAAATTTTCAATAAAATGATATGTCAGTCATTTTTTCTTTTAACAAATACTTTTCCTATTTCAAATATTATCGAGTGATATCTTTAAAAAAGTTTGTTAGCTTTCTTCCCTAACTCTCAAAAGTAAATTATCCAAAGCAAACATTTACAAAGTATTTTTTCTCCAGTGTATGAAACCAATCTGCAAATAAATCATTCTTAAATAAATGAGAAGTCAAACCCTAAAAAAAGGATAAAACATTATTAAATATAAGGAATTTTAAAAATCTTTATTAGAGTAAAAAAAAAAATATGCTGTGACCAGCCATGGACTTAACTGTTAAATGAATTTGCTGGAAAAAAAAAAATGGGAGTGGTGATTTGTAATTTAGAAAACAAATTATTTTATATCCACTGGCACCAGCAATCCATGTTCCATTAAGTTCACTTTACAATTAAGTGTACAGTTCAACTAAGTCAAAATATCTGAAAAGTTTCTTATATAGGTTAGATCAAAGCATTGAATGCAAATTAAATAAATATGCCATTATTGCAAAGGCAAGAAGCAAAAAGTGACTTGAAGCATTTTTAACTCCAAATAAAATATTTAATTTGTTCATTTTAGCTTTTAAGCAGTTCACATGCAACATGTCTAACAATCATTTATGAATGGCAACATATTTTCCTTTTAGTTTAATAATTAATAATGGTTGAATTAAAAAAAATTTTTTTTTAATAAAACTTATAAATATCTGTAAATTTACAATCTTTCAAATTTAGAATAATTAATTATGATGAAACTGAATTATAATTTTAAAGCTAGTAAATTTACTCCAGTTTTTTATTAGTTTTAAAATTAAAAATTGATCAAAACAATCACAGATTTAGACCTTTTTCAAAGTTATTATAATGTAAGCAAATATCACATAAAATCACAAATTTTATGTTTAACATTTCCTAAATATGGAACTAGCTTAAGCATTTTAAAAAAACTGAATGATTGCTGCACACCATGACTACTAATTGAAAAACTTGCGAAAACATAAAAAAATTTAACAAAATTTTTAAAAAATTTTTCAGCATAGTCATTTCTCTTATTACAATATTCAAATTCTCAAATGTTACAAGATTACTCCTTTTCATAATTCAGATTATCATTTTTATAATCCATTAAAAAAATGCCAAAAGAATGGTTAATTTTTTTAGCAAACTTATTAATCTTCTTTGATATACATGCTTAACTGATTGTGGTATTCATATGTTAAGAATGACTTAGAATATAAACTATTTTGTGATTTATTCAGTAAAATGATATATTTTGAAAAAGATATTCTTAGTCCAAGATTTAACATAATATAAAGATTTTAAGATGATATTGGTGAAAATAAAAATTTACTTTACTGATAATTTCCTTATCACAACATTTCTACTTTTGCTTTGATGGAATTTTTTTTCTGTATGCTTGAGCACAGACCCTTAACCTAAAATCCCTTCTTATTTGCTTAGCCTTTGATCAGCAACAGTTTTAACAAACTCCAATCACTAAATGAAAGAACAGTCCACTGAAACAGTAATGCAGTGACATACTTAAAAGGTATAACATTGGTTTTCTAAGAATGAAGATGAGGAGAGAGAGATATAGCAAGAGTTGCAGTCAAGGGAACATGATAAATCCCAACTGCAGTAATTCTACATTCTTTATACCCTCCTCTCTTTTCTGCCTCCCACTCACTGATTTGAGGTAACAGAAAAGTGATATACAGATGTCTTTTCTTGCTCCATTAGGGACCCCCTCCCAAATGTCTGTTTACAGTCAAAGATATCAAATTATGCACAATGAAATCCTGTGTTCAGTCACACCACCATGTAAAGCAATTACTGACATCAAGTGATGTCAATAAAGAGCTTTTTGTAAAGTCATAACCAAAAACTTTTCTCTTGCTATATGTGAAGAGGCATGTAAGCTACAATGTCATTTTGCTCAGAAAAAGCAGTCAGACATTGCATAAGTTGCTTTCTGAGAACATTCACTTAAAAAAAAAAAAATTGTAAAAATACATGCTTTTTTTTTTTCTTTTAACACTCATTGTAAAACTAAGATTTTGTAATTATACATCATTTCTCAGAACATATAAATTGGTTAAAAACTGGAAAGAAGTGTATGTGCTCTATGCATAATGTTATCTATTTGATTATATTGTATGGTGCCCTAACCAAAGTGAAGGGTAAGAAAGGATATATAGATTCTATATATAGATCAATCTTAAACATTTGATTACTTACGCTCATGTTTGAAGTTAGAAAAGATTTTAATTGGAAAACTGTTATTTATTTAAAAACATACAAGTATGCATCAGAGCCCGATTAGATAATGGAAAAACTCAACACTTCTTGCAATCCTTACATTAACTACAGAATAGAAAGATGACAAGACAGTTACAACCAAAATGAGAATATCACACAAATTAGAATTATATATCAAGAACAGTATCAATTACATAACTAGTGGGCAATATAAAGCTACTGTATACAACCTAAATCATAGCAGAATAAAATTATAGTTGTAGGAAGGTGTGATAGAATTTATGAATGATTTTGTGTTTGACTTAAGTAAATAATTTTTAAAACTTTTACACAGCATTAGAGATAGTCTGCTTGAGAAAATTAAGATTTTACATTCTTCTGAGCAATCACAAGAGTGATAAGCTATTAGAGTTTCAAAAATAAAAGACAAATTGCATTGATTGTAGACAACATAAAAATAACGTTCTCCAAATTCAAATAAATTAACTAATGGCAATTTAAAGCAACAAAAGTAAGATTCTTCAAAAGACTTTGTGTTTAAAACTACATAAAAGATAATGACTCTAAATAGATTTTATTTAATTACTCACAATTTGATCATTAACTAAAGAGAAAATATTTTAAGCAATAAAATTACTTCAAAAAATAAAAACAGTGATTTATTCTTGTTTTTAAACATTGTTTACTCAGTTTCATTTTAATTCATTGTATCTTTTTTTTTTTTTTAAATGAAGAATGAGGATTAAGTACAAAACTAAACAAATACATTCTAAAATTAATTCTAATTGCAGAAATTATAATGCAAGAAATCAGTCTTGTATTTTATCAATGAACCAAATATTATTTTTTTCTTCAATCTCTTTTTTTCTGAAATTTTGTTAATTTGATGTTTAAGACAATACCAATTCAAAAGGATGATAAAGTTCTTGACGTAACAAGACAAGATATTTTTCTTTTCACTTGTATTGATAATCCCATAAAATGTGCTTTCTTTCTGCATTTTCCTCACTGTTCAGTGTCTTACATTTGTTGAAAAAAGTTATTATATATAACCTAGTATAATTTGTATTTTCTTTCCTAAATAGCTGTATATCAAATAGAAAAGAAAAATGCAAAATAAACATGGAATGTTGTTACGGTTTGTTTCTAAAAGCAAAAACTGAAATAATTTTTAAATATCAAATAAGGAAAATTTTTGTAAACAAGAAGAAAAGTGAGAAAATTATTTCAGAAATTAATATCTTGTCTTTCTTTTTATCAATGCAACAGTCTTTTAACAAAGACAACAAAAATAATGCAGATACTAATAATGAATTATAAATCATAATTATAACACAAGAAAAAAGAAAAGAAATCACAGTTCTTACAATAACAAGAATAGCTTATGATATTTGAGGTAAAAATCTATTACTCTGGATAAAAACAACATAGTTCACTTAAGAATTTACTAAAAACAAAACAAATGAAATCATTATTGAAAATGTGAGCTTACTAGATAATATGCAAAGCAATCATTACATGCTACTGCTAAACATTGCAAAGATTTTTATGAAGTTGAGGAAAATGCAGCAGAATGCAATGGTTGCACTCCAATTTATAACCCAAGGCACTTAATATCAAAGGCTTATACTATGATAGCATCAAACATCAGTATGCAACTTACTGCTATGGTATTAGTATATGGAAATACTGAAGAAAGAATCTTTTTTTAAAATTAAAAAAAAAAAAAACTCTTAATTCTATAATAAGATGGTAATGTAATGTTGAATAAAAGAGTAAATCAGTTTAACTCACCTCGGGATCTTCCCTTTTGTAAATCATACATAATTGATGCTTCTTTCACCTGAAAAGAAACAAAAAATTAAAAATTACTTACACATTTTATTGATTCTCTTCAATATTAATAATCATTACGACTCAATTTTTTTCTAGACAAAGATATGAGATATGGTTTTACAGAAATCTAGCAATGTATAAAATATTACAGGTTGCTTACTAACATTTTTTTTTCATTTTTTTTTTAAATATATAGTTGAGTATGCTAACAAACCTTACCTTGGTGAAAAAAGTCAACTGAATTTGAGACACATTAATATTGAAAACACCACTTCAGAAATACAGCTGCAAACTATACCAAGTTCAATGACGATATTTATTTCAGACATAGCTCATTGTTACTCTATGAAAACTGCTAAACTATTTTCTAGATTTTATAAAATTCAAATGAATTTCTACAAATATTTATTAGAGCACCAAATTGTAGGCTACTAAATCTATATACCATGTATTACCACTGTTAAGTTGATAACTGTTATTGCACACAATAACAATTAGAAGGAAAATTGATTTGAAAATCAAGATTTTAGAAGGATATAACCCAACATTAAACAATCTTAATATGACTAATAGACTCAAAATTGATTCAATCAACTTGTAATATGTCCCAAGTCAAAATCAAATAAAAACTGAAATTTGAGGCTGTAATGTAACTCATACTTGTGGTTACAGTGTATTTTTGCTAAACACTATTTTTGCATTGATCCTGGTAACAGAAAAATGAAAACAAAAAAAAAAAAAAAGTTAATTTACCTTGCCGTATCTGGAAAAGAAATCAATCAAAATTCCTTCATCTACATCAAAAGGAAGGCCACCAACAAAGATTTTTCTGTTTTGGTTTTCAGGTGGGGCAGATTGCGGTTTGGTTTCCACTACCTGAGTAAAAGAAACACTCAAAGGTAGAAACATCAATTAAGATACAATTACAAGCTTCATCATTTTTGTTTTTGGTACTCAGTATTTACTTTATGAATATATAAATTCAATATTTTGCATAACAAAAAAAAAACTCATACAAATTGTCTACATTCCACATTATAAGCAGTAAATAAAAAGCATATAGCAGATATTAAGTGTGAATTTCATTTTCAAATGATCACCTTTTTTCCTTTTTTTGTTAAATGCCTTTCAGGATGTAGGATATCATGGTTCTGTAGTTTCCATTTCTTTAACATTTGTGAATAGCCATCAATTTTCATGGGAAAAACTGTAGAGTAGAGTCACAATTTTGAATTCATAGTTGAATTTCTCCTAGACTGGTTGCTAATCAAGGTCAGAAAACCCAGTCTACCCTGCTATTCAATTTATAACTGCAGAGTGAAGGGATGGATTTATGCTTTTTCCCAAGGGTATAAATATGAAATGAATTGGCCTACCAATTGTTCTAATCATAGAACCACCAAAACAATGATACAAGATCCATGAATTGAAAAATCTAACATCTGAACTCAAATCATTTTAATCAAAAGATGTTCAATTTTTAAGGGAATTAAAAAAAAAAAAACTATAAAAACATTAAATTGATTTTATCACAAAATGAGAATTCTAAAATAATTTCTTTTTATGAAACTTTACCTTATATGGAGTGCGTGGATTGCAAGCCTTTGGATCCACCTGAAAATAATAAAGAAAAAAACTTTTTTAATTTACATTAATGGAAAAAATAATATAAAATGATGACAGTCTAATGACTAAGATCAAAAGATTACTTGCTGAGAAATCCAAGTGTTTAGTGACTAATGAAGGAAAATAAAATAATTGAAAACAGCAAAGGAGACATGGAGATAAAACATGTTTTTTTTCTCTTCATCTTTGTTTTTCATCTCAAGAGTTTCAATCAATGTATTTGTTGAACATCATCAGATTATAAGAGGATTACTTAAACCAAATTTCAAGCATTTTTGGCTATAACTCAAAAATCCATTTTCAATTGATCACTGAAAAGTTAAACTGGGTTAAAATTTAACTTGTTAACTGAAAAATATGGTACTACAAATTTTACCAAATTTATTTTCAAAACATCCAATTCCCAAATAGAGGGAAATGAGAAATGGTAAGGTCTTAAATTCTTTGTCAACACTATCATTTTATTGTTCAAACCAATATTTTCACAACAAAAATGCTAATAATTAATGGTGAAAAAAATGTTCAAGATATTGTTATGATAAATATACTATGTAAATTTCAGCTTGTTTTATCTGTTTTTATTTGAAATATTTCCAATAACTTATTTCGTTATGTGTGGGATTTTATTAACCAAAATGAGTACAGTAGCTTTATTAAATCAGTGAATGATAATGATGCTTACTTGTCGCCCATCAATGATGTGAGGCCCACCAGACAAGATTAAATGAACACATTCTGGATCTTTGTAAGTCACAAACCCAAAACCCCTTGAACAACCAGTCACCTTGTTTTTCATCACAACACAATCAATTACTTCTCCATAACGGCTGAAGTAGTTAAGCAGAGTATCTACAAGAAAGTGAAATAGTCATGTTTTAAGAATTGGGGAATGCATTTAAATACACACACACAATAACGACTAACCATTTGTTGGGATTCATTTATAAGAGATTCATCTGCTAACACCAAATATTAATTATATTAATTTCTCCCATTTTATGTAGACATTTTTGTTACAAAACCTTGTAATGATAACAGACTGTTAAAATTAATTGAAAATAAACCTCAATAGAATATATAAATATATTAAAACACCTACTTTCCTACTGGTTAAAAACAATTTACAGTCATGCTTAAATATTTGAAAAGTTTCTCAAATGATCATTGCTAATAGTGTTTTTATTTTTGTTTAAATTAGTTTCAATAAAGAATTAGGAAAAAAAATTAAGATTTAGATGGACAATTTATTCCACTCAATTATTTCCCAAATTAATTATTTATAAATTTTAAAATTAAAACAAAATTTAAAACATTTACAAATACATTTAGTAACAACTTTAACAAATGAGATTTACATATCTAGAAAACTGTTTGAAACAATTGGAAGATATAAAAATAAGTGAATTTACTTTATTAAAATAAGAATTTTCTTTATATATAATTCTTAGTATTCAGCAGCCTATCAATATTCTCATAACAATAGAAACAAAAAAATTACCTGATTGAGTTTCCCAACTTAATCTTCCAATAAAGAGTTTCCTACAAGAAAAAAATGAACAATGTACTTGAATTTAGTGACATTTTGAGAAAAAAGTTATTACAATTATTTTACTACTACTTTTTTCCAAAGTAATGATTTTTTTTTTTTTTTTTTTTTTAACTTTTAGAGCAAGCACTGTAAAATCAAATATAAATGAGTAGCTTCTGGTATGACTTCATGTCCTACATCTTTCAAAAATATCACCTTAACTACTTTGTCCATGAAAAATGAGCTTTTGACATGCAAGAGACAAGTTCCAGTTTCATCCGAAGTTACTCCTTTGTCTTATGTATTTTCACAGCCAAAGTGTAGCCAACCCACTTTTGTGATTTCATCTATAAAAAAACAAATTAATTTCACTTTATGATATTCTGAAAATTGAACTGTTACAAATCAACAGGAGCAACAGTAATATTTACTGACCTCCCCACGAGGTAGGATGTGGCACAAAGCTGAATTTAATGTTGGGCAAATTCCCCCCCAAATTCCCCATAGACCCCACATAAATGGGGTCAGGTCGGTCTACCTCCCCAGACAAGATTCTGCCCTTCGGTATAGCCTCGTCCAGGTTCCTCTCTCCCCAAAAGCAGGGAGTTCAACAATAGCTAAGAGCTGAGCACGTGGCCAGCTCCAGCTGCCTAACTACCTGATCTTCAGGTAGCCAGTAACAAGAGCAACAGTAAACATTTAGAGATATTGGCACTACTTAAATAGAGTGGTCCGCTTATTTTTTTTTTTTTTTTTAAAACTTAAGCAAAAAATTTTTTAGCAAATAATTTTTAATAGATTAGCATTCAAACCACAAAATTTGTCAGAATAAAATATAATGACTTATTTTTTTATTGATTTAGAAGAGGGGCAGCCTTGTTCATAATATCAATATAGTTATTGATCCCTTTCTACAAATGTCAAGTTTGAAACTGTGCTTATGTCATTAATATTTGCTTATATTTTGGTTTAAAATGATTTTCTGAATTTTTTAAGCTTATTTTTGTGGAGACAGATTTTTGGAAGATGATACACGGCATCGGAGGGGATAATAATTCATCCTAAATGATGAACAAACACAGATATACTTTTATTAAAAATGTAACTAAAAGAAATATATGAATGAAAAGACAAGAGGAAAACTACACTTAGTTTAGCTGATACATTTCATCATTTGATGCACTATATCAAGGCAAATGTGTCTTGATAAAGTCTGTCAAATGAGAAAAAGCATTGGCTAAACTAAGTAGTTTTCCTTGTCTTTTCATTCATTTTGTCTCTTCTACAGAGATACTCCATCTAAGAATATTTATGCACACACACACGTTCTTTAAAAAAAATCCTTCTAAAATGATAAATATATTTCAATTCTGACAAATGCCACACCTAATGAACGCTAATCTATAACAAACTGCCCTCCCTCCTTTTTTTAACAAGTGAACAGCTCTACTTAATTTAAGAATTCTTCACAAGGCACTGTCAGACTGGAGAAAAGAAATATATTCCATTGTGACTTGAATAAGAGAATTGTTGAGTACAAAGATTTCTTCATTTATATATGTTAAAAATCATTTATTTGTTTATTTCAAAAATAGATCAGAATGCCAGGAAAAGAAATTTGGGAACTATTAATTAATTTTAAATAAAATTAAGATTCTCTTTTTTTTATTTTTTCTTAGCATGAACAGATACATTTGACAGATATTTTTAGAAAACTGGTAAAACATTTCTACAATTTTTTTTTAAATTTTTTTTTATCTTCAATACAATCACTGATTTAATGTATTAGAATGTTTTTTTTTTTTATTGCCTAAATTTAATTAAAAAAATATAAAGTTAAAATAAAGAAACCTTAAACTGTAAATAAACATTTTAAATTTTAAAGTTCAATATATTCTTATATTTATTAAAAGGAATTGTTAGCCAAGGGGATTCAGTTGTAAATAATTCAAAATATTAGATTAAAAAAATCTAGTTGGCAAGGTTGGGTGGTAACACTATCTGGTTACCGCATAAGTAATATCCAAATTTAAAGTCGGAGAAAAAAAAATCACATATTCATATTTAATTAGAATTTATTCATTAATATCAATTTCATCTTTTTGAAGATTCATAAACTTCACAATAACATTTTCATAAAGGTCTTTTTCTGGAGGAAAAAAAATATAGAGAAGGTAGTTTCTACCTGTACACAAATGACTTAGATTAGTCTATCAAGATTGTTCTAAAGATACTTTAATGTGGGTAATAATCATGGGAAAAAAAGATCTGAAGAAGGAAGACTGTGTTTTATCCAGATAAGACCTTAAGTCTTAATATGTAATCTTGGTTGTATGGGGGCCATGAATTATCATGCCTTTACAAATAATCAAAGTGGGCATCTCCTCTTTGAATGTAATGCTTAAACTGCTGAAAATACTTGTCAGTTGTAATTTTAACTGTCACCTCAATGGACCAACCCAATGCCAAACAAAACGTTTTCTACATTTCAGGTTGTACCTGTTTGCCTCAAGTAAGCTATTGTCTGCATCACTTTTTAGAGACTTGAAAAAATCAATATTTCATGATCTGTACAAAAATGATGAGATGCAAACACAAGAGCATAAAGAATTGAAAATATTCACTTTTAATTATGAAATTATAAGGAACTCCTTTTCCAAGTTGATGACAGTGAACCAGTGAAAGTTCAGGTTCAGTTTTCCAACTCACTATTTCTTTCAAGTTCTAAAAAAAAAAAAAAAAAATTAGGATGACTCATTCATGGTACATCTCTAAAGCTGAAGTTATTTGTTTGCCAAAGATGATTGAATAAGTTTCCAATGTCTTTCATTTAAACAATCTCTTTCCTAAATAACATGAATATTTATGGTTTCAGTTAAGTTTTCTAAACTCATAGATGTCATGTCCTTCTTTAGAGGGATCAATTAATAACAAGGTTGAAACATGCTGTGATGATATAACATACTATTTGAAAACTGAACAAGTAGGCACTAGCATTTATTGTTATCCTTTAGACATTTTAGAAGAGGGAAAATATTCAAAGTACTTGTGTACCTGTAGCATCAAAAAGAATGGCAATTGTTAGAAAGTTTTAATACTGAGATACAATGAAACAAAAGCTTTGAAACAATGTATTGAGATTCAATGAAGCTGACATCCACAGTTCACAACTAAAATAGAGGCCAATGAACTATTTAATTAATCCATTACCTTTACATTTTTTTAAACAGTCAATGGTATTTGATTCATTGATTACTCCTGGCATTGTATCAATTGCTTTTTGCTTAATATTTTTTTCATGTTAGAAATTGTATGCATTTAATAGTGACTCGAAATGGAAACGCCTATCAAAATAAAAAGAATTACTACCACAAGAATAAGTTGAAGCAAGATGATGACTTAATAGACAAAAGTATCTAAGTAAGAAAGGTATCTTGTAAGGAAGTCTTATAGTAGTAAAGGAATGGATGAGTTAAACAGTTAATTTTGCTCAGGAACTAATTTTAATAAATACTTTATTTGTATAGATAATTAAAATGACTAAGGGAAAAATCAGCCATGAATTTACTACCTTCAGTTGATTTACCTCCCTTGCCACTCTAGAATATCTCAGATTTGGATATTATATATGGAATTACCTCATAATTTCTAAATTGGGTGTATTCAAATATTTTAAAACTAATATTACAAAATTAAGTCTGATAATGTCTAGATTATATTAATATAATTTTTAATCATTTCACCCCAAGCAAGGTGATAATGCCACCAAGACACAAATTTTAGACATGTAGTTGAGGTAGTAAGGATGGAAAATTCATTAGAACAATTGCCATGAAAATATTTGTAAAGACACAAGGAAGCCATGTCACAGTGGTGGGAAAGTAACTGAAGTTGAGATACCAAATCAGCAGCTATAACATTACAGACCCTTTTTATTTTGTTGAGGATCTTGAGATACATAGCAAAAGTATTAAACCAGATGTGGCAGCAATTGTCAATGTATGGACAAATGGCAGATTTATAAATGTGCAAGATGCATTCTAGCAAGAAAAATTGTCTGGTAGAGCACAGTGAATCAACTTTCCCAGCAAATAGACTAAGCAATTGACTTAATATAATTATTCCACTTCATGTCTGGAAAACCTGAGAAGGTGCAATGAGTTGCTCTCTTGGAGGTTTACATCAGCCATGCTGATGGAAGGTAAAAATGGTTCTCTAAGACGATTAAAAGATAGTTTTGTTTTGGTAGCATTACAATTTACAAGCCATTTCTTGCCTCAGTTAACAACTGACTGAAGGTCATTTTCAAGACCAGTTTTACTTTATCAGACCTGTCAGACTTACTATTAAAACAGGTAAACAGTTGTCATCAGCATAAATACCAAGCTGGAAACCGATGACACCAGTTGGTCCATTGATGAAGGTAACAAAGTAGGTGCAATGATAGAGTCCCGAGAGACACCTGCATTAATGTGAAAGGATCTAGAAGAGTGGCTGTTCATCATGACTTTCATTACATGATTTGTTAAAAAAAAATTAAATCAAAAATTCAGCCAGTCACCATAGCCCTTCATCTTGTGAAGACCAGCATGCCAAACCCTGTCACAGCCCAAGCTTCACCATTCTTATCTAAAAACTTGACAGATTCTTTCGTTAATAACTGTTAACACATAGGCAATTGACCTACAGTAAAAATCCATATTGCTTGTCTAAAAGAAGACCTTGCAAAGTGAGATGCTTAACCAGCTCAAAGTTGATTAAAGCCTCTAGTATTTTGCCAAAAAGAGGTAAAAAAAAAAAAAAAAACTAATTCAAGGAATCAGAAAGTTCAGAGTTCTTAGACATGATCTACAGAAGAGGATTTCCAAGAAGCAGCAAAGAATTTGTTGTAGAGTTTAGATATGCTAGCATGAGCTAACCAGTTACCGTTCCTCACTCATCAAAACTCAGTCAAGTAAATTAAAATACTGTGCACACCAACTGAAAAAAAAAAAATTAGCAAGGAAATATA